AGAATTCCTGAGCCAACATGGGGAACGATGGGCCTTTCATGACTTGTGGGCTTCAAGTCCTAGAATTCCTGAGCCAACATGGGGAATGATGGCCCTTTGATGTTCCCATCTCTGGGTTAGAGCTATGTGAGAGGTGGAAAGTAGGTGTGGACTTTTTTTCCTCCAGAGAAGAAATTTGGGGTGTGAACAGCACCTCCCTGATCTTCCTGGGTTGGGCTGCATTAAGACTTGAAAGTGAGACCACCGGAGAAGTTGCAGAAGCATGCCAGAAAAAGTCCTTTCCTGCTGTTTCCCACCAGGAAAACTGGAACGGATGAAACCTGCCTATAAAATAAAGACAAACACAACGTCAACAATGAAGAAGGGCCAACCAATGGGTGCAGCGATCCTTCGCTTTGCTTCTGTGCTTCAGGTGCCTCTCATTAATATCTTTAATTGGGTTTGTTGTTTGAATGCCTTCTGGGAAGAGCGCGATTAAGACATCCATTACCAAATGTGCAGAAGGTACAGAAAATGATGGTTGAGAACTCGCCCAGATCTGAGGCTCTAAAATCTCCTTTCGTGCAGGTGAAAACAAGAGAGGGTTAACCCTTGGCTTGCCTAGATACAGGCCGTCCTTGACTTACGACCGCAATTGAGCTCAGAGTTTCCACTGCTAAGCCAGTCCCTTGTTCAAGTGAGGTTTGGCTCCGTTTGATGAACTTTCTTTCTCGGTCGTTTAGTTCAGGGGTCTCCAACCACCGGTCCATGGACCGGTACCGGTCTGCGGAACAAGTCCTACCGGGCCGCTGGCTTGCTGGGCGCCGCCATCTTGTTTTGATGAAAAAGTGCTTCCGGTGAGCTTTTCCGGGTAGAAAGCTCACCGGAAGCACTTTTTCATTAAAAAAAGATGGCGGCGCCCAGCTGATGCCGGTACCGGGCCGTGGCGTAAAAAAGGTTGGGGATCACTGGTTTAGTTGGTAACATGGTTCTTTAAGCAGATCTGGCTTGCTTGTCAGAAGGTCGCAAAAAGGGGATCGCGTAACCCCTGGAACTGTCAACTCGTAAAGCATTCCTCTGCCTGTTTTCGAGTTGCCACACACAAGGGAGGGGGGAATCTGAAGGAGCAGTGCAGCAGATTAAAACCAGAAGTACATTCCACGCTTCTCTTACCAAGATTGTAGCCTAGGCTACCGGATCTTCTGCCCGAATTGGAGAACGTGATTGAGGACACCCGGCCCGTGAAGGTGCTTCATCGGAGAATCTCATTTATGACACACCCAGGAGGGAGGGGGGGGAAACAGGGTCACAGGGGACTGTGAATTACGTAGGCCAGAGTTGGTTTCGTTTAGGTGAATGCCGGCATGTTGCTCCTAATAAATCTTTTGAAGTTGGGCTCGAGGATCATGATTTAATTAGAGCAATTGCTGGAATCCTGACAGGGACTCACAACCGTCATAATTGCAACCCAGTTAAAAAACTGTCTGGATTTGGATCACATGACCACAGGGATGCTGCAATGGGGAAAAACGGTCCTAAGTCACTTTTTCCAGTGCCTGTAACTCTGAATGGTCACTAAATGAGCTATTGCAAAGCGAGGACTACCTGTATGGAAATCTGCAACGCATTGTGGTCGATTCTGAAGATTGGGGCCCATTGCTGGCTGTGGAAGGAATAACAGGGCTGATGAATGTGAAGCCTTGTATAACTTCTCTCAAAATTCCTCAGGATGGTATCACTGCACCACAATGCCAAGCACAAAACCGCCCGGGTCTTTTGCCTTAAAGCACCTTGGTCAAGCAACGTTGGCTTTTGGGGGGGGGGCAGCTGCCCAAAAAGCCAATGCAGTCCTAGCCTGCATTAAGAGAGGGAGAGAATAAAGATCATGCGAAGTGTTAATGCCAGTTTACAAGGCCTTGGTAAGGCCACACTTGGAACATTCCATCCAGGTTTGGTCACCGCGATATAAAAAAAAGAAGATATGGAGATTCTTGAAAGAGTGCAGAGAAAAGCAAGGAGGAGGATTAATCTTACCTTTTCTTTTAATGTACACCGAGAGCATATGCACCAAGACCAATTCCTGGTGTGTCTAATCATACTTGGCCAATAAAGAATTCATTCATTCATTCTTTTATTCGTTCGTTCATTCATTCATTCATTCATTCATTCATTCATTCGGGAGCATCATCACTTGAGACTTTCAAGAAGAGACTGGACAGCCATTTGTCAGAAATGGTGTAGGGTCTCCCGCTTGGATGGGGGGGTTGGACTAGATGACCTACAAGGTCCCTTCCAACTCTGATTATCTGTTATCCGTTATCTGTTATCTGTTATTCATTCATTAAGGGGACTGGAGGATAAAACATATGAAGAACGGGTGCAGGAATTGGGTTTGTCTAGTCTAGAGAAAAGAAGGACTCGGGGTGACATGATAGCAGCCTTCCAATATTTGAGGGTCTGCCCCAAAGAAGAGGAGGGGGGTCAAGCTCTTCTCCAAAGCCCCAGAAGGCGGGACAAGAAGCAACGGGTGGAAACTCATCAAAGGAGAGAAGCAATCTGGAATTAAGGGAGAAATTTCCTAACAGTGAGGACAATTCACCAGTGGAACTGCTGTGGCTGCTCCATCACTGGAGGTTTTTAAGAGGAGACTGGACAGGCGTTTGTCTGGAATAGTATAGGTTCTCCTGCTTGAGCAGGGGGCTGGACTAGAAGACCTCCAAGGTCCCTTCCAACTCTGTGAACCCGTTTCCAGGCTTGCTTAACATGCACCAAAGTTATAACGACAAAAAACATTCTCGCTAATGGAATGTGCTGAGATGAGTAGATTGACATTTGAAATTAGAGAGCAAGAGGATAAACAATTTTATGAAATTTGGTATCTTTTTTATCAATGGTTAGATGATAAAATACGATAATAGAATATTTAGAAAGTTAGATAGCAAGGAATACCTTTATTTTTTCTTTTGCCTATGTTATTTGACATTATATCTATAAAGTGTTTTTAGGATAGATTTGGTATGATTATATGATTTGTTATAGAATAAACTGTTTATTGTTATCTCATAAAGCATGAATGATTAAAAGTATAGTCAAATGATTTATTAATAGCGATATTAGGATATATAAGTTTGGATTGACAATATGAGTTGTTATGTAATATAACTGTAATTGAGACTACGAAATGAATGCACAAAACTGATGAACCAACCGAAACACTGTACGTACATAAGAGAGTTGATGTTTTAATGTTTTGTTTGTCTTGTTTGTTTGTAGAAAATCAATAAAATTGTTTCCAAAAAACAAACAAACACATTCTCGCTAATAAGCTTTTTCAGCTGAGCACGTTTTGCAAAAGGAACCCTTGAGTTTAGCCTCTCAGCAACCGTCAGGGACTCCTAAACATCTTCCAGGGGTCGATTGGCTGTCCACCCATGATTGTCTCTCCTGCCCAGAGTTGAGGGCCTGTCTCCCTGAGCACATGAAGTGTCACCTTGGGGACTCATCTCGCATGGCCCTTTCAAGGTTGAACAAGAGGAGACCCAGCCGCCAAACCCATAGGAGATCAATTGATCTCACCCAAGGGATAATCCCGAAGAATGCAGAGTATTTGAGGTCCTTGGTGGTCCCTGAGCTTGGTTGCTTTCTTGTAGATCAGGGGTCTCCAAACTTGGCAGCTTTAAGACTTGTGGACTTCAACTCCCAGAATTCCTCAGCCAGCTATGCTCCCAAGCCATCCTGGGAGTTGAAGTCCACAAGTCTTAAAGTTGCCAAGTTTGGAGGCCCCTGTTGTAGATGTTTCATTACCCAGCTAGGTAACATCATCAGGACTAGAAGAGAGAGGGTTAGTGAAGTGGAAGAAGGAGATAGGAGGGAGGAGGGAGGAGCAGGAGGAGGAGGAGGAGCAGGAGGAGGCAATGACTGTGAGGTCCTTGGTATTTTTGTTTCCTTGCAGATACTTCATGACCAATTTAGGAAACATCATCAGTGCTAGAAGGGTGTGGAGTTTGCTCTCTGTTTATATACATTATAACCCCACTCCCTACTTGCATGATGATATCACCTAGTTTGGTAATGAAATGTCTACAAGAAAACAACCAAGCTCAGAGAGCACCAAGGGATGACGTGAAGAAATAAACTCTTGGGTGGCCTAATATGGTTACCACAATGCATGAAAAGAAACCTGTAGATTATCCCATCCTAGATATGGCATCAGCCCAGGAATTCTTTCCGGAAGGGGATTCAATTTAATGGTAAAAAAAGAGGCAGGCATGGTCCTAAAGATACACTAGTAGAACATGGTAAAATAAGTTTCTTTCAGCCTGAAACCTGCAGAGATTCTCCGTCATCCAGGACCTGCTGGTCCCAAAGGTGGTTTTTCAGGAGGCAACTGGACTTTCTGGTTTTTCTTTTAAAGATGTTTTGCTTCTCATCCAAGGAGCTTCTTCAGTTCTGACTGGATGGTGGGTAAGGGAAGGATCTATATTCCTTGCAGACAGCTGGTCATTTGCATCCTTTTTAGAGGGTCGTTGAGGCCACCTGGAGGTCTGTGTTCTCAGGGTCACTGGGATGGGGCAAGTGGTTCCTGCACTCTGCAATTTTTGTCTCCGGAAATCCATTCCTTACTCCCACCATCATTTGAAGGCCATTCATCCCAAATTGGACAGCTAAAAGTCTGTAGAGATTCTTAATCCTCCAGGTCCTGGTTGTCCCAAAAGTGGTTTTTTTTTCAGGAGGCAACTGGACTTTCTCTTTTTTTTTTCTTTTGAAGACATTTCTCCTCTCATCCAAGAAGCTTCTTCAGCTCTGACTGGATGGTGGGGAAGGGAAGGATTTATCAGGCTGGGATATCGAAAATGGCTTCCCACCTGGTCACGTTGTTGGTCCTTCGGTCCATGTGGATGTAAAACCACGTTCTTCCTCTCTCTCTTTCAGGCAGCCTGCAAGCAACCCGGGCCTTGATGGTGTCCAGCATCCTTTTGGGTCTCATTGGATCGTTTGTCGCCATGATTGGCATGAAATGCATGAAGTGCTTGGAAGACGATGAGGTCAAGAAGTCAAGGATGGCCATCCTTGGAGGTGTCATCTTCCTCCTTTCAGGTGAAGAATGCCTTCCTTCTTTAAATCCATGGCTGCGGACCGGGGTTCGCCTTGACCCTCGTGCTATTTTGTGGCCTTGCAAAGAGACGTCGGTATGGAAGCCACCAGAGATGGGCCAGTAGGTTGGATTCCTGGGAAAGGGGGGGGGGATACAAAGTGGAAAACCAACCATCTGTAGGGTCTGGGTGGGGAGAAGATGCCTAATCTGAGATCAGCCTTGCTGAAGGCTGACATGGGCGGACAGTGGATGCCTTGGAGAAGACAACCTGGGTGTTAAATCAGATCAATGAATGGTCCGGCCAAGATACAAACAGGGGAAGTCCTGTTTTGCAATGTGAGAGGTTGGCCAACTTTCCTCAAAGAAGGTCCCTCCAGTTCTGTAAACAATGGAATGGTGTCTACAGAGCTTGTGATATTTCTGGACGCTTTGAGGAAGAGGCTGGACAGCCCCTTCTCAGGATGGCTTCACTGATTTCATTACACCATGGAGAAGGTTGGATGAGATGAGCATTTCTCAAGGGTTTGCCAACTTGGAGATGGGTGGACTCCAACTCTCACAATTCCCCAGCCAGGGGGAGTTGGAGTCCACCCATTTTCGAGTTGCCAATCCTGAGACATACTCTATGTCAGGGGTCTCCAACCTTGGCAACGTTAAGACTTGTGGACTTCAACTCCCAGTATTCCTCAGCCAGCTTTGCTGGCTGAGGAATACTGGGAGAAGTCCACAAGTCTTAACGTTGCCAAGGTTGGAGACCCCTGCTCTATGTATCCCACACTATAATTCCATTATTCTAGATGTGTTGAACTTCAGTTCTCATATCATGTCCAACACACCTGGAAGAGACTATCTTGACTGAGGAAAGCTGGTGTGAATTGGTGTGACAAGCAGCCACTCCTTCTTGGAAGTTGTTGACTTCACAATACCTCTTACTTCTCGCCTTCCTTCCTACAGGCTTTGCCGCCTTAGTGGCTACCTCGTGGTATGGCAACCTTGTGGCACAGGACTTTTTCAACCCCTACACCCCAGTCAACACCAGGTAAGTCACGTCTCAATGAAACTCTAGACTCCACCAATAGGCTGAGGCAGAAAGATCTCAATGAAATTTAGATTGACCTTCTGCGGATGGCATAACAGAGTTGGAAGGGACCTTGGAGGTCTTCTAGTCCAACACCTTGCTCAAGCTGTTGACCCTGTTACCATTCTGGATCAATAGCTGTCCATCCCTTCTTAAAGACCTCCAGGGATGAAGATGAATGAAGATGAATCAGCGTGGTGATTGCCGCTTTAAGACTGAGGATGGGTCCCACAGGGTTTTACCACTTTAAGAAGCTGCCTATATATAAATGCGGCCATGAGAGGGCATATCTTTTTTCTCCTTGGGTTCTGTCTCCATTGTGGTTCTCCATGTAGAGTAAAGAAGATGGATTGCTTGCCAGGCATTTGCCTACCACGTATAAGTATGTATATAGCAGTCTTGTATATGCCCCGCTGTTAAAAGACAAAGCCTCTGTGTGCTGTGTTGTGCTCCTGGGTTGTCCCACAATAGTAATCACACTGCAAACACTCTGATAAGTTGCACCCACAACTTCTGGAGGCAACTTGTCCGCTGATTGACTGTCAGGACATTTCTCCTTAATTCCAGGTTGCTTCTCTCCTTGATTCATTTCCATCCGTTGCTTCTTGTCCTGCCTTCTTTGGTGCTTTGGAGAATAGCTTGACTCCCTCTTCTTTGGGGCAGCCCCTCAAATAAGGGGACATTGCTATCGTCTTTCTCTTCATTAAACTAGACATACGCCAGTCCTTTAACTGTTCTTTATACATTTTAGCCTCCACTCCCCTGGTCATCTTTGGTGCTAGTCTCAACGTATTTTTCATATCATGAGCAAAACTGGATGCAGTATTCCAGGCGTGGCCTTACTAAGGCTTTGTAAAGAGGTGCTAATACTGCGTGTGATTTTGATTCTACGCCTCTGTTTAAACAACCCAGGATTGCATTAGCTTTTTTGGGCTGTCTCCGTACATGAATTGACTCATATTTCATGGATCATAGTATGACTCCAAGATTCCTCTCACAGTTGTTTATTGGTTTTGAGCCAGGTTTCGCCTAATCTGTATTTGTACCTTTGGTTTTTCCTGCCCAGGTGTAAAACTTTGCTTTTCTCCACATTACAATCCATTTTGTTGGATGAGACCCATTCTCGTTCAAGTCTGTCAAGATCTTTTTGGATCCTGAGCTTGTCTTCTGGGGTGTTGGCTAATCCTGCCAGCTTAGTAACATTTGCAAATTCTATTCCCTCATCTAAGACGGAACCTTGGAGTGTCCCACTGCTTACTTCTCTCTATGTGGATGTAGTACCATTAAGGACTACTCATTGAGTACCATTTGTCAGCCGGTTACAAATCCATCTGGTGGTGATACTGTCTATCCCTGTTTCCAGTACTGATAAACAGATAAGCAGATAATCAGAGTTGGAAGGGACCTTGTAGGTCATCTAGTCCAACCCTCCACCCAAGAGGGAGATCATATACCATTTCTGACAGAGGACAGTCCAATCTCTTCTTGAAAGCTTACATTGGTGAAGTTCCTACAACTTCTGAAGGCAACTTCTGTTCCATGGGTTAATAGTTCTCACTGTCAGAAAATGTCTCCTTATTTCCAGGTTAAATCTCTCCTTGTTCAGTTTCCATCCATTATTCCTTGTCTGGCCTTCAGGTGCCTTGGAAAATAGCTTGACCCCCTTCCTCCTCCTCTCTGGGGCAGCCCCCCAAGTATTGGAAGATGCTCTCCTGTCTCCCCTGGTCCTTCTCTTCCCTAGACCAGCCAGGCCCAGGTCCTGCAACCGTTCTTCGTGGGTTTTACTCTCCAGTCCCCTAAATCATCCTGGTTGCTCTTCTCTGCACTTGTTCCAGAGTCTCAACGTCTTTTTTTATGGTGTGGTGACCAAAACTGGATGCAGTATTTGAGATGTGGTCTTACTAAGGCTTTTTCTAGCTTACCAAGAAGTAGGTTGTGGTCTACTTTGTCGAATGCCTTACTGAGGTCTAAGTATATTATATCCACAGCCTTTTGCTGGTCTACTAATTCAGTCACTTTGTCAAAAGACTGAAATAAGATTGGTTTGGCATGATCTGTTTTTTTAACCAACCTATTCTGGCTCCCCCCCCCCCCAAAAAAAAACCCACTGATTTCTCCTAGTCCCCTGCCCAGGCCACCTGCTCCCATCTGAGCTGCTGCCATTGGCTAGAGAAAGTCTAAAATTAATTTCCAAGAAGGCACGTGAACAATCTGCTACACCAGGGGTGTCCAACCTTGGCAATTTTAAGACTTGTGAACTTCAACTCCCAGAGTTCCTCAGCCAGCAAAGCTGGCTGAGGAACTCTGGGAGTTGAAGTCCACAAGTCTTAAAGTTGCCAAGGTTGGACACCCCTGTGCTACACGGTGAGGCGCGTTGCTCTCCGCCGCCCTTTTTACAGCTCAGCCATGTTTCCCCAGACCGTATGTGGGCCCTGGGAAAGGCCCGCGCCAACGAAAGAGCTCATGCAATTCCACCTTCCCTTCGGAATCTCATCTGGCCTCCCGCTTTCATCCTCGCAACTTCAAGGAAGGCAGCCAAGGCGCGCATGCTGCAACCTGTGGGTCATGTGGTGTGTGGAATTTGGGAACCAGCCAGAGGACGTGAATGAGGCAACAGCAGATTGTAAAGCAATGTCAGAATTACAAGTGGGGATGTTTGAGACCTGCAGGGACAAGTGAGGAGGTCATGGCTGGGAGAAAGAGCGAGGCTTGGGTTTCTCAATCTTGGCCCACTTTGAGATGGGTGGACTTTATTAGGTTTCCTGGTTGAGCAGGGGCTCGGACTAACAGAATAACAGAATGTAGAATAACAGTGTTGGAAGGGACCTCGGAGGTCTTCTAGTCCAACCCCTGCTCAAGCAGGAGACCCCCTATTCCATTTCAGACAAAGGGTTGTCCAATCTCCTTTTTAAATACCTCCAGTGTTGGAGCACCCACAATTTCTGAAGGCAACCAGTTCCACTGGTTGATTGTTCTCCCTGTCAGGAAATTCCTTATTTCCAGGTTGAATCTCTCCTTGTTCAGGTTCCATCCGTTGTTCCTTGTCTGGCCTTGGAGAATAGCTTGGCCCCCTCCTCCTCTCTGGGGCAGCCCCTCAACTATTAGAAGATGCTCTCCTGTCTCCCCTGGTCCTTCTCTTCCCTAGACTAGCCAGGCTCAGTTCCTGCAACCGATCTTCATATGTTTCAGCCTCCAGTTCCCTCATCCTCCTGGTTGCTCTTCTCTGCACTTTTTCTAGAGTCTCAACCTCTTTTTCATAATGTGGTGACCAAAACTGGATGCAGGACTCTAGGTGTGGTCATCATTCATTTCCCCCTTTGAGCCTGGTCTTCCTCCCACCCCCTGGATGTAGAGTCTCCAATAGCCACATCCATAGCCAAGAATCATCAATCAGGCTCTCCAGTAATAATCTTGTGCACCAACAGCTTCGGCTGACTAGCAATTATCTGAAACATTTAAGGAATGCGCTGCTTTTCCCCCACTCCCTTTCTGCTTGCAACTCTAAAAGACCAGAGAAATATTTTTGAGTTGACAGTATTCACACTTCACGGGATCTTGATTCTCTCCCTCTGTTAATGCAGCCTAGAACTGTGTTGTCCTTTTTTTGGGTAGCGGCCAAAGACGGCTGGCTCACCTTCTCCATGAGGACTCAAAGATCTCATCGAAGACCTCCAGGGTCCCTTCCAACTCGGTTATTCTGTCTATCGAGTGTCGCCAAATCAAAGATGATGGATTGTTCCCCCTCGTTCTTGGACTGACCATCTCTTTCCTCCTCAGGTTCGAATTCGGCCAGGCGCTCTTCATCGGCTGGGCGGCCTCCTCCCTGAGCATCTTGGGCGGCGCCTTCCTCTGCTGTGCGTGCCCCCGGCAAGAGACCTCCTACCCCCCGACTCGGCCGTACCCCAAGAGCGTCCCTTCCACCGGGAAGGATTACGTATAATAGGACGGAGAAGGATGACATGAAACGCCGGCACCGGACGACCCCAAGGGACACTGCTTTCCTCCTGCCCTGCGCTGAGCAGCGCACGCTTCGCCCACTGCCCCATAAGTGAACTGGGCCTCTTTGCATCCCTGCCCCCATTTCTGCTCTCATTTCCTCCGATAGGAAAAGCGAGGAAAGGATTTGTCCTGAAATCACACACGCAGGCGTAGGGAACACCACCTTCCCTCAGTGAGAGGGCCGACGAGGTAGCCATTCCCTTTTCGGACCCTTCCGTCTCCCCTTCTTCCTTCTCTTTGAAACCTTACAATAGATTTCTCTTCAAGAGCCAGGAGAGCGGCAGGCATCAAAGCAGACGGAGAGGCCAACCTCCCAGGAAAAAGTCTCCGTGAAGAACTTACAAGGAGTCCTCGGTGTCCGGGCTCCAACAAATCCACCCTCATTCAAATCCTAAATCTCTAGCCGCATCTCTCGGAGTCAACAACAATGATTTATTAGAAGTGGCCATGTTGGTGTTAGCTGGGTGCAGCAGACACTAAAATACACCATTCACTTCCCCCTTGACACGTGAGGGAGAACCTATGGCACGCGGAGCCATTTGTGCCAGTCCACGAGCCACAGGCAAACTTACCGCACTGCCCGTGTGCGCGCCTCACGGCTGGTTTTCCGCTAGTTTGAGGCCTTGTCCGGCCTCCCAGTGTTTTGAAAAAAAGCCTCTGCAGGCTTTGCGGGACAAATAATAGGCCCGTTTGGTCACTTCCTGTAATACCAGAAGTGATGAAACGGGCCTATTATCCATCCTGCAAAGCCTGCAGAGGCTTTTTTTTCAAGCCTCTGGGAGGCCGAATAAGGCCTCAAACTGGCCAAAAATCAGCAGTGAGGTGCAGTGCAGGTAAGGGGGTGGCGGAGGGAGGGATTGAGTGCGCACGCAATTTTTGGCACAGGAGCCCGAAAAGGTTAGCCCCCACTGCCCTTGACCCTAGTCTTCCCCCCACCCCTTGGATGCATATTCTCCAATGGGACACATCCATAGCCAAGAGTCATCAATCAGGCTCTCCATTAATAATCTTGTGTGCCAACAGCTCCAGCTGCCTAGCAATTATCTGGAGCATTTAAGGAATGCACTGCTTTCCTCCCTCTCCCTTTCTGCTGGCAGCTAAAAAGACCGAAGGAGGTTGTTGTTGTTTTTTAGTTGACACTCAACTTACGACCACCACTGAGCCTAAACTGTCTCTTGCTAACCGAGTCAGTGGTTCAGTGAGTTTTGGGGCCTTTCCACCCCTCTTGCTGCAGAAGTGGGCTGTGAAACACACACACACACACACACACACACACACAAATACACACATTCAGATGCACCAGCCCGCTCCAAGCTGTGTTCCTAGTTTTCACTACCACAAACCTCACAGTGTGGTTGTGATTAAAGTCTGCAAAGTTGCCAAGACTTACTTGGGAGTAGACCTCGCCCGTCTTAGGGCACCGTTGAGCAAATCTGTGTGGGATCCAAATGGCTTCTCTTTTTCCTTTTCCGGCTGAGATGGTTGGTGAATCTTGAACCGTTTTGCCATCTCAGTCCGTCGATCATTGGGGGCATCCACACCCCTTGGCTAAACTTTACCAGGGTGGGAGGGAGGGAGGGACACACAATTCTGTGAGAAGAAACTGTATAAAGTATTAACTGTTTTCAATAAATGTACCTTTTCATTTTTTAAGAAACTGCGTCTCGGAGTTGCTATTTAATGCGCGAAGAGACAGTTTGCACCAAAAGGGGAACGGTGGTGCAAAATTACTCCTTTTTCAGGACAGTGCGGCACATTGAACAGCACAGGGATTCAAGTTCAATGGGAAACTTTGGGTTTTAAAAGGCTTTGTGCGTTGCGTGAACTCAGGCTGTGTGTTAGAAGGTGGTTTGGGGCAACGGCTCTCAACCTTGGTGGCTTGAAGATGGGTAGAATTTAAGTCCCAGATTTCTCCAGCCAGCTTGTTTTAAGATAGGTGGACTCCAACTCCCAGAATTCCCCAACCAGGTGTTATATTCGGAAGGTCGGGCTCATAAAGAGGAGAGACTTCAGTTCAGTAACAACAGCTCTTTATTTATCGGCAGGAACAAGTCTGAAAAACTAGTAGCCGCGGCGGCTCTTTTATAGAGCTGGCCGCGGCTTGGCGGCCAATGACGCTGCTTTAAGTCTCCCGCGCTTGGTTTCAACCAATCATGGCAGACTCTTAGCGAGCCAATCATAACTGCCCTGGCTGTCCAATCAGGTAGTGGTTGCAATGGACCAATGGGAATGCGGGCTTTCAAGTCTCTGAATATGGAACACCAGGAGCTTTAAGATAGGTGGACTTCAACTCCCAGAATTCCCAACCAGCTTGTTTTAAGATGGATGGACTTCAACTCCCAGAATTCCCCAACCAGGATCTTTAAGATGGGTGGACTTCAACTCCCAGAATTCCCCAACCAGGATCTTTAAGATGGGTGGACTTCAACTCCCAGAATTCCCCAACCAGGATCTTTAAGATAGGTGGACTTCAACTCCCAGAATTCCCAACTAGCATGCTTTAAGAAGGGTGGACTTCAACTCCCAGAATTCCCCGGACAGTATGGCTAGCTGGGGATTTCTGGGAATTGAAGTCCACCCACCTTAAAGCTTGCCACACGTTTGAGAAACCCTGATTTAGGAGGTTAGCACGAACGGAGTCACTCCAGAGAAAAAACACCTGATGGAGTTACTCACGGCTCCACTGCGACTTGCACAAACAAGGCAATTGTGTTGCAACGCACGCACACGCACTCCTTTGAGACAGTCTCCCCAAAACCAATCTTCCCAAGGAGATGAGCAGATTAAGGGGGGTGGGGGGAAATGCAACCAGACCAGTCCAACCGGTTGGCAAAACGAAGCCAACCTACCCCCCACATTCCTTCCCGGAGACTCATCCCCAAAGGAACATCCTGCAATTAAGTTGTAAGTGGCTTCGTTCACGGGAGGCCGTCAAGTTCTCCTGCGTTTGTTTTCTCTCTTGCTCAACGCCTTGGAAGAGGCTCTGCTTTGCAAAATCTCTGTCAGAGGAGAAGGGGGTTTGAGCCCTGTTCCCCAGGGAAGGGTGTGGTCTTCTCCATGGGTGCCAACACACATGACTTCATAGGTAGGCATGATGCATTGCACGCCGGAGGTGGTTTCCACCAGTTCTTCTGTGTGTTTTAGGCCTTCCGTTCACGACATTCACATGGGGGGGAAAAAAGAAACATCTTGAGGAATGGTTCTTATCCATTAGACCAGGGGTGTCCAACCTTGGCCACTTTAAGACTGGTGGACTTCAACTCCCAGAGTTCCTCAGCCAGCTTTGCTGGCTGAGGAACTCTGGGAGT